TGTCATGCGCTTCTAGAAAATTCATGTCCCTTCTTGAAGCCTCGAGAGGTTACTAGATGTACGGTATTCTTGTATATAAGACCGGTAAGAAGTGACGGCAACAATGTAATTGAATTGCAGACAGATATAGAGACGGACTGTTGGGTCGAGCGCGTGAGTCGTTCGTTGTGAATTATAGCGTTTGTTATAGCGTGACTGTGGAAATTAAGTGTATTGCAAAGTTGTATTCAGAAATAATATATTCACTATATATATATATATAGTGCTTCAACCTCTACTGTGTTTGTTGTATCCCAGCCGGCCTCATGAGCTCTGAATTGAGCGAAACTCGTCGTCTGCAATGGATACGGTGAACATAGCGTAGTTGGAATACCATTATTATAAATTTTATAAAAAAGGCCTAATGCTGATGTCTAACGACAAGTAAATTAATTATTATAGTTTTCTTGTCCAATCTGAAGAGTCTATCTTGCTGGATTACATATTCATAATTTTAGACATAATGAAATCACGTAAGAACTATATTTTCTATAAAGATTTTATTCTGTACAACAGTTAATTAAAGGTTACGCAAGCAGCTTCATTTTCATCAATCTTATCAAGTGTGCGGCTGATCAAGGAATTCATTAGGCATCAACGTCAGAGATTAAGTTATTAATTTTATATTTTATGAAATCTAATGTGTAATATAATCCTATAAACTACTGAAGAAGGCGCAGAGAATTTTTTTTTTACAATATTGTATTTGTATTTTTGGTAGTACTCTACAGATATTACAGATGAGAGTTCTATTCTTGAGTACACAAAATAAAAAAAGACGAAGAGTCTTATAGGTAACATATGACTATAGGATGAAATGCTTGTTGTGAGTCAACTTTTGCTTGGATGATTTAAAAATCACTTTTATTGTAAAATGACTTCAGAAAATGTCTAGTATTAATTATCCCCTCACGCTTTCAATTATTCCTTTTGCTCTTTAGTTAACCCTACTAATGGTATAGTCTCCGCTCTACCGTTATGTTACTTTCTGTCATTTTAGATCACATTGACATATTTCCAAATATTTTAAACAAAAATTTGAATAATAATTGTTATGATATGTACGCCTTTTACAAACCGGAGAAGAATGATTACAATTTTTACTTGTGTATTAATATCTCACGGGAAGTAAAATTGTAAAAATATGAACATTTTAACTGTATTAGACTTCCGTGAGGACGTCAGGTAGGTTTGTGTTTGTCTATACTATTATTCTGCTTCTTTGTGTGTACGA